TGCAGCAACAACAGAGGGCGTTGGTGCAGCAACAATGGAGGGCTTCGGTGCAGCAACAATGGAGGGCGTTGCAGCAACAATGGAGGGCCGCGTTGCAGCAACTGGATTCTTGTTCGTCSCACCACCACCAGCCGAAGAGGGAATCGAAGAGGAAGGACGACRAGGAGCCTTCTTTTTCTTGTATGGATTCCTGGTCACCAGCTTCCCAGCTGCGGCAGCTTTGGACCTAGTCTGGGGCGCTGTATCCTTGCCACCACCAGACAAAGCAGAAGAACGGGTACAGCGAGCGCTGCGTCGTGGAGGAATCGTACGAACCATGTTGTTGACGAGGAGTACTGCATCAAATAACAAAGAACAAGGAACAAACATCAATAGCCAAATGAGGAGTGAGGATCACGATTTGTGCTCATCAGACGCTTCTTAGTACGTGCATGGGACTTACTTTGAAAAGAAGAAGCTGTTGTTGTTGTTGTTGTTGTTGTTGTTGTTGTTGTTGTTGTTGCCATGGTCGGAACTGTCATCGTCGTTGCTAGTAAAGTTAGTAAAACGCATCGAAAACAGCAATTTCAAGGTTAAAACCAAAAATTCGAAGCGGCTCAGCAACAAGGGGCACTTACAGCAATGCGTTGTTGTAAACAAGAAGATAAACAAGTGGAAACAGAGGCCTATTCCCATGGTCTAGTTCAAAAGAAGCAGATCGAATCGTTGCTTTTTCTAAACTATGATTAGAATGCGTGCAAAACGAGTGAGTGTCGTAGGATGTAGTACAAAGTCAACGAGTGGTACAAATGTGAATGCATGCAAACAAGTGAGTGTCGTAGGATGTAGTACAAAATCAACCACTGGTACAAATGTGTACGGAATCCCGCGACTTGAAGGAGTAGAACTGCCTTACTAAGGAGTCACATACAGCTAACTACTGGAGCGACCAGCTATGAGCCACTAKTAGTAGCGCATAGCTACTGGTACGCGCGCGCATCGGTACCAAAAAAAATTACTTTGGTACCATCTTGTACCAGGCCTACGTAAATCACGTAGCGAGACAGGTTTTTTGTTGTCCCCMCGGAAAAGCAGCGAAAAGCAGCAACAAACAGCAGTCGACAATGGCAAAACAAGGGTCTCCTCCACTCTGCTCGACMGTGCAAGCATTGGATTACACAACTAACACCCCTATCCTCTTGTCCTCCTCCTCGGCAAGTGAAACTGCTGAATTTTGCTTTAGGAASGGTCCTTTTCCTAAAGCAAAATTCAGCAGTTTCACTTGCCTCGGAGTCGGTTTTGGTTGCACGTGCTGTCCCTATCTAAAAAGAAAATCCTCGGCGCGCGCGCCTCGAATTTTCTTTTTAGATAGGGACAGCACGTGCAACCAAAATCAGAGGACGGGGTGTTACTTTTAGTACCAGAATTAAAAAAAACCGGTGTCCCGTTTACGGGGTACAGTCCACACGGTACGTACAAGTACCTGGCATTCGTGCTCTTACCATTACTTAGTACGGCTAGGGCTATTCCGACGAAGATACTACCATACGACGCACTCTTCCTTGCTTTCGAATACCGTTTGATAAAAAAAAAATGTTGTTCGATACCCGATACGAGGTGTCAGAGTATCACGCGTTGAGCTTAGGACGGTCAATTCGGCCATCATTCGCCTCGTCTTTGGATCGTTTTTTCGCCGGCAATCTTTTCTAGCCAGTTTTGGTAACCACGGATGTCAATAGCTGGCCGTTTCTGTCCGTCTATAACCATTTTCGGCTATTTCTGCGCTGCATGTCAGCAACAGTTGATGCCCACTAGAAGAACTGTTTGCTTTTCTGTGATATAACGCGTATCATCTGTTGCGACAGAGGACTTTGTTCTGCCAGTGCTGGACAAAAATGAAAAAATGAACCAGAGAATTCGATCGGTTGGTGTTCCCATAACTCAAAAATAACTCCCTTCCATTCATTCATTCGTCGAAAATTTTGCACTGATCATGCCTGATGAAGGGAAAAAAAAAAAAGATGAAGGTGACTGTGAAGATCAAGATGAAGAAATTTGCTTCAAAAATGTGAAACATCGGATGAGGCGCCACTATTTGATAGTCCTTAAAAAATACCTCATCAACTTCATTGCTGAAAGGTATTATAATAAGATGCATACCTGGCTTATTTTCTTTCCAACTCAGATTTTAGCTATGTGGGCGACTCTGTCATCACCGCTCTTCTTGTTGATCATTTTTAGCAGAGGTCGGACGATGGAGTCATCTGATGAGTTGACGGATGATGGATTTGAACGGATGCTGAATGATGTAGCAGAGAACGTCACATCGATAGATGACGTTATCGAGAAAATCGATGCTGTGGCGAATAACCAGAATCAAACGTACCTTGAATACTTGAGAGCTTTTTTGGATACGCTTTTCGGTGGCATCCTACTCGTTGTAACGAACTACGGCAAGGCGGCACAGTACGAACGGAAAGCTGAGCAGCACAAGGGTGTAGCGGACGAAATGAAGAAAGTGTTGGACTCTATCGACCGTTTTCTCAAAATTCTTCCCCCAGATAAAAATGACAACGCCAAACTTTCTGCTCCCAACGAGAAAAAGAGACAGACAATTGTACACGAAATTGAAGCTGCATTTGAAAAAGTCAAAGATATGAGACCAAGCCTGTCACCACCCGAGACCATCGTAATGGCGTTTGAGAATATCGAGTGCGACATGGAATTCCTAGTGACGGTAGTTGAAAGCACGAAAGACGAGAAAAAAAGGAAAAAAAGGGTAATCAGAAGTTGTACTGCAAAGAATACATTCGAAGTCGATTTAGAGACACGTTTCGATGTATTCAAAGATGGATACACCGATCTTGCCGATATTATGATGAAAAGCAAGTCTGGCCCAAAATGTTGCCTGACTAATTCGAAGAAAGCACGGAATAAGGTGATAAAAGGACTCCGCAAGCAGTTGAACCGCTTGCGCGATAATCAAGATCCTGACGAGCATAAATGGAAGACTTATTTCGAAGACTTTGGGACGCTGTTGAGCTGCAAAAACATTGACCCCAAGAAGGTTGTTGATGATAACGAAAAATCTGCTGAGAAGCCTGAAGACGCAACCGTGGCTAGCACCCAAGCCGCGCGCAGTGGAAAAGATAACCCCAACCACAACATGAGTGGGATTAATGGAGCAAATGTATGAAAAGCTGGAAAGCCTGATGATTGGTAAAACAACTGGTTCCCCAGAAGTTTTGGTCAAGAACTATGCTAGAAATGACAGCGCATCGAACTTCTCTCACAGGGCATTTGCAGAAGAAACGGTATATAAGATATATAAGACAAAATGGATATTGTTGATAGCAATGCAATACGACTGACAGACAGATGAGGCCAACAGGCGACGTAACGGACGCGAGAACAGTGTTTTTATGTTTTTGAAGATATATATGGATGGGCGAGAATAAGCGAGCGACCACAGAGTGTATGTAATGCTCGGAATGCAAACCATAATGAGGAATTTAGTGATTTTAGGATAAGTGGACAGTGTCCTCATTCTTTATAGTTTTATCTAGTCAATAGTGATGGAGAACACTTTTAGGCTTTCTACACTTAAGAGGAGAATGACGTAATGTATGAATTCAACAAATATGTTCAATTCAAAGTAGTAGTGTATTATGTTTCGCAGCTATTGAGTATCCTGCTTCATTGATTACTGCGCACCCACAAGGAGCAAACAATGTTGGGATCGTTCTTGTGCACCCTGTGTCATAATACAAAGTGCATCTCGTCGTCTCAAAGGTTTGGCTCTGTTGCCCATGCAAATTCAAGATTACAGTACATTTAAGCGTTTGTTCAATACAATAATAACATATTAAGTATTTGTAGGCAAGTTGGGTGTACGCATCTAAGTAGTAGTTGCAAAACAGTAATCATACTGACCATAGATTTATTAACAAATGATATGCGCTGTCAAATCGAAAGGGGGTTTGGCGCAGTGAACGGTCGTCACACATGCGACTTCAAAGTTACTGTACAAATTACGGTTTGAATAGTGGGTGATTCCCGGAAACACATTAATATGTAAAAATGAGGCTGGCGGACTTGTTTTATGTATCGACTTGCATAAATTTTGGTTGTCGTGGGCCCACTACAACCAGGATCTGTGTATTTGAAATATTTTTTGTCTGGAATCCTTGACTTAAACATTTCCAGTCTCGGGAGCAGGCGCGCCCTAAACTGGCGCCAAACTCCTGCAGAAAATTTTGATTCAAGTGTCAAGAAAAAAGCACATCTTTGCTTCCCCTGGAACAGAACACCACACAACACAACAGCACAGAAAAGAGGAGAAGGAACAAGGAGAAACAATGCTGATGGTTGGTGTGTGGAGCCCTCTAGTACTTAATTGCAACACTACTAGCATCCAGATTCTTCTGTTGTGGAGGAGGGAAGAGAGCTGGCGCTGTCTTGAGAGGGAAGACCACAACCAAATCCCATGTGTGATTTGCATACCAGTAGCTCATAAAAAGAACAGAAGGATCATGGCTCCAGCTCCAGCAACAGCTGCAAGGTTTGCTCCAGCTCCAGTTCCCACAGCAACAGCAGCAACAGCTGTAAGGTTAGTAGCTCCAGCAACAGCTCCAGCAACAGCCCCAGCAACAGCCCCAGCAACAGCCCCAGCAACAGCNGTGGTACCAATAAGAAAAATTTCCCATAAACTTTTTTTTTCATTTTATTTTTACTGCATAATACTAGTAAAACTATTCAACTTGTGAGTAGTCATAACTTTATCAAAAATACCACTATAATAATTTTAAACTATTGCACCTATACCAGCTTTTTGTGAGGATTCTGAATATACTATTTTCTTTGATATCAAATGGATTCTTGATGAACTTTATTCCTTCCCATATATCTACTAGTAGTAGTAGTAGTAGTAGTAGTAGTAGTAGTAGTAGTAGTAGTACTAGTACTAGTACTAGTACTAGTACTACTACTAGTACCTTTCTTGTTTCTTCCACCTAGTCCTAGTAGTAGTCACAGGTGGTGATCTACTGGTACTACAAGTACAAGTACTAGTAGCTTCCTACCAATAGTATTAACAGTACTACTACTAGTACCAGTGTTGGTACTAGTACTACTAGTACTAGTAGTTAGTAGTAGTAGTTCTTCTTGCACTCCTAGTACTATCAGAGTGGGTCTATACATTTATAAATAGTTGATGCTATAGTGGTAATAGAATAAAGAATAAAGCTGTTTTCCATGTAATTCAATACTAGTAAAATATTTTATGCACTCTGTTTCTTTAATACTGCTACTGATGGGCTGTTCTTCTCACTCATTTTCTCTCCTCCTCCTTGTCTTCTTTCTTCCTTCTTGCACTCTTACCACMAACACTATGATGATCATCTTTATTGGACCTTTTTCTAGAACCAATAACATCTAATTCTTTACGTAATACTAAGTTGGTTTCCTTGTTCTCACTACCTCTTGCTGTGAAATTCTCTCTGTATCCTCTGAACTCCTCACCGAATCTAGCATTTACCACCTTCTCCACCAATTCAACAAATAAGCAAGTGTTTCTTCCTCAAAAGCTTTTTTGGCATCATTTACATTCTGCTGTGTGAACTGGTCAGGGTATGCAACACTCCTCCTAATACCTCGTACCTCAATCACATTCATTGAGGTTTCAAAGTTGTCCTTCAAATGGTGGTACAAATTTCTCATAACTTGCCAGGAAATGTAGTGTCCTTTATTCACCAAAACTTTGTAAGCAAGCATGTTCTTTGTACGCTTCAATGAGTGGACAGAACACAATGAAGTCCAGATAAAGCTTGAAGGAGACACTGGGTTTCTGTATCTGACACATTCCTTGTCTGGTTTTCCTTCATTGAAATTGTTTGATTTGGTAGCAGTAAGCAATGCTAGTGCACTTACATTTCCACCACCTGCATCGCACATTTGAAGCTTGACTTTCAAACCAACAAATTCCAAAGCAGTAATGACATGCAGTAATTGTTTCACAATGTCATCACCATCTAGACCACCACTATTGTAATAATATGCAACACTCCATGTTTGGTTCTTTGATGTTCTCAGCTTGAAAACATTTGCATATTGGGCAGGTACAATGTATGCACCCTCCCCAGTGCTGCCTTGACTACCAATAGCACTTTCTTGTCCAGATCCAGAWTCCAGTAGGCTACCTTTGGCTAGGGATAGTATTTCCTCTGCAAAGCTCATGGTTYTCCCATTTTKGCTTGCAGTGAATCCTGCTTCCTTGCCTGTCATGGGATTGTATGCAACTCCACATTTTACTTTGATCTCATCAAAAATTATCTGTACAACAGTTTCCTCTGTAGATATTGGTTTGCCTCTAGTATTCATAGCATCACAAAACTGTGAAGAAAATCTCACAGCATGTGCACCATTTCCACCACGCAAATGGAGCAACTCATTTTCATTTGTACRCTGACTTGGAAGGATTTCAAGTGAGCTTTCCCTGAGCCGTTCATAACCTGATTTTCCATGCTCTAAGTAGTATGATAGAGCAAGGYGTTTCATCCGATAATCATACTGGACTTGCTTGTCATGCCCAACCAACTTTTTTGATTCTGCATCAAGCAGTGTACAAATCCTAGCTACAAACAGGTCTACCTCTTTTGDGTCCACAAGGTTTTTCAAATTTTTCTCTTTTATGTCAGCCTTCAGCAAGGTTTCAACCATGAGTTTTTTGAAATCMCCTTTTGTACCCTCACTGGTTGCCAAGTCAAATGCTTCTTTTATAACACCATGTGCTTCATCACTAGCAATGGACACCATCTGGGTTGCAGATGCATTCTGAAGTTTCAATTGAAAATTCTTCACTTGATAGTTAAGAGTTTTCCTTTGGATAGAAAGCCCCTTGACCCGCTTTTTAACAGATTCTGGAGATAGATAACCCACTGCAACATGTGAATCAGAAGCAAGCCTATCACCTACATTGGTTTCTCTCCTTTTTCTTCGCCTTCTATCATTTTTGCTCAACTGTCTACAGGAACTGCATTGTGAATTCTCCACGTACCGTTTCATAATTTTGAATAGTTCACAATTAAGATCTTGTGAACAAGAAGTACAAGTTTGAAAAATTACCTCATCCTGCAGTTCAAATGCAGTTGGATAATTATTATTTCTTCTGGCCTGAAATGTTATATCAGCTGCAGCTCTTTGAACAAAGTCACTAGATTTGAACTCATCACTAGAACAGGCTTTATAGTGTTCAATCAGTCCTTCATGAATTGATTGAACACTTTTATAAGAGTTGCACTGTTCTGCCTTCTGTTTGCTCCTGCTCTGTAGGATCTCAAGAGACCTAAACTGTCTAGTATTGGATGACCCTTTCACTGGGGTGACAAAATCTGCAGAAGTAGAACCACGCTTTGAAGTGAATTCATTTGCTTTGTCAAGAACCCATTTTTTGGAGGCAAGAGGTGGTCCTACATATTGTTTCTTCAGTTTTGCTTCTAGATTCTCATCAGCCTTGAGTTTCTGCATAAGTATTGGATCGTCACTTGTTGTCAAAAGAGCATAAACCGTGAATCGACGAGAGTGATATCCTTTGTTAATAACATTGATGTCCTTATCCAAATCAAGGACCTGCTGTTGAGTCAATAGTTTTGTTCTATGACCAGGATGATTCAATAACAAAACAGGCGAAAAATGATGCCGAGCCAGTCTGAAGGATTTTGAATCTGATGAAACACCAAAGATATCATAAACTGCTTTCCTGAAAGCCTTCATTTTGAAAGTATCACCTCCTTTAAGATGAATTACAGGTTTCTTCCAAGGATGATTATCTTCTAAGTTTTCCATGAATTGCTTGCGCAGGAACTCACACATTGACATTTTTCCATCAGGAGAGGTTCCCCAGTTACAAATGCAATGATAGTAGGATGGCTTGGCTTTGCTTGTTGGTAAGGGTGATTGAAGTTCTTCAGTTGATTCCTCCATCCTTGAATGTTTGTGATTCTTTTATGTGCAGGTACATATGCGTGTTTATTGCTTGATGGAGTAGCAATTAGCTTGTATGCAGAGGATGAAACAAGCCCAGGCCGTACAGGTAGTTGTTATGCTTGCTTTTACTGCGTTCTCAGGGGGTCGATGGCTCAGATGTCCTTCAGGGCGACCAAAAGAATATGTGTTGCCTGCAACTACAAATTCCAGGGTGCTACTTCTGCTAAGTTGCAATCTGAGTACTCCTCGGCTATCTTGTCCAGGATAGCAATCCCCCTCCCGCCCAGCACTGGTGAAGGCAAGTGGCAGATCACCCCGCTCTAACTACACAACAGATGTCGCACTGAATTACCTATAAGGGCAAAAAGTGTTGGTTCAGTTRCGGAACCCTGRAGTGGTTGGGGATCACTACTTAGCACTATCACCACTAWGGCAAAAAACCAACTTCCCAAAGACAGCTACAAGAAGGGAAGCACAGAATCACAAACCACCACACCAGACTACTTGTTCTACTGTTCTGGGACTACCCCAAAGGGATATTTAATGTTACCTATAACCTATTAGAGAGAAAGAACAAGGGAAGGCATGGAAGCAACACTAATGTAAGAATATGTAGTATCTGCTGTAGAATTACAGTAGCACTGGTAGGGAAAAAAAAATTGATGGAGCGAAAATGGATGAAGGACGGACCGTTGAATTTTTTTTTGAGCAGCTGGGGGTCACCAGCAGGAGCCCTGTGTCAGCACTTCAAATCCTGAACCGCAGACAACAATAACATCCAAGAAATACTTACTACTTGACTCTCAACTGTATGAGAGATGTGCATATGAAGTTTGAAAATCAGAGAGTGATTGGAAGTGTTCCTGTGCATGAGGTCTTTCAGGTACACTTTATGCAGTATTATGCAGTAAAAATGAGATGGAAAAAAAAACTTTATGGGAAATTTTTCTTATTGGTACCACGGATGGAATATCGATTTCGATGCGTTGCGCACCCCTCCTAAATTATGACCCCTGACGTATGGTACATCAGTTTTTCAAGATTCTTACGCTTTGATTTCTGATTTCCGCGTCTCATTCCGTCAGCAGCTTACTGTATTCACATGGAGGACAAGGATGTAGAAAACCCAGCTCTTTCTCCAACCTCTATTATCAGTGCGCAATCGATCCCAACTTTATAGCCAACGTACCGGTAGGTGAGGATGAGATGACGAGATAACCGCAGCCACACCAACTCGACGTGAAACACAACTCGATTCCATAGATTACTCCACCCATCCATCCATAAATCCTTTCGCGGAAATGAGACGGAAGGACAACCCACTGCCGTCGCTGCATTTTTCTTCGCTGGTGACTCTGTACATAGCAGTTTCGGTGCTATTGATCGCCCGCCACGATCGATCCCCGACTACCACGATGGCGTGGACGATGATCCGTCGGTCGTGCCGGCAATGGTTTCCCTCCCGCAACCAGATGCGGCGAACGGGGACGAACCACCACCAACAACGTGCACACAAACACGCGACAACGTCCCCGGGGCTGTGGACCTCGGCGGCACCCTCGGCAGCGGGTTCTTCTTCCGCAAGAACCTTTTTGGATTCCAGGCAACACCGGCACCGATCCTGGGGCATGCACGCAGCACATAAACCATCTCACGACGGCGGCGACCACTACTCGTCGTCCGTGTCGAGAAAAAACAGACGGCGACCACGCCGTCTGTCGTCGTCTCTGGCCGCAACTACTTCCGCATCGTCGTCGTCGTCTCGCTTGTATCGGTATCGGGACTTCTTGGAAAAAGGTGAACACGATCGCATCGTTCTTTCCTATTTGACAGACATCGAGGGGGACAAGTTTTACCTGGATCGATACGTCGACAACTCGAAAATACTGACCTGGATCCCCAGCGACGACGACGCAGAGCCACCGGGCAACGACACCGAGCAGTCCCCGTTTTCGCTCTCCTATTATTCCTGCAAAGAATATCCCCCGGCGCGTTTTCCATACAATCGAAGGATGGACTTTGTGGATTCCAACAGCATGCTGGTCTTTGGGGGCGATCTATGGGACAAGGGTGGCTTTGATTTGTACGTGACCCGGCAGCTGATGGATCTCAAGCGGCGGTACCCGGATCGGGTGGTCTGGGTCCTGGGAAACCGGGACATCAACAAGCTGCGGATGATGCAAGAACTGGGCTTGCCACCAGCCGAATCGTCCACCGACAAGAGCAATACCGGTGCTGCTGCGGCGAGCAATTTGTCGGTTCCTTATCACCCCGGACTCACCTGGTTTCGGGGAAGCGGAAGGGTAGGGGATCCCAGCGGTCCTCTGCCATCGATGGTTCCCGGGGACCGACTGAGATGGATTCTGGGAAACACTATGGGAAGCCCGGATGCCATGGAGCATCGGAGGCAGGAACTGGCCTGGGAGGCGGGGGGCTGCAGGGAGACCGGCGGCACAAGTGCCGCCAGTTCTGCCGAAGGAATCTCCGATTGCGACGTGGTTCGTTCCTACCAAGAATCCTGTCACCCCAGGGGAGAAATGGGAAGGTTCCTGGCGGAAGGCCTGCTTGCGGCCAAGGTCGGACCGATCTTGTTTGTGCACGGATCCCTCCCCCTCACCAAGGACACCATGGAGCGGGGACTCCGCGACGGCGGGGACGGAAGCAACATCTGGGACGACCTGACCTTTTGCATGCCGTGGATCAACAAGACGCACCACGAGTACAGCGAGGACCACAGGTTCGAATCGGCGTCGGACCTGGGAGTGGAAACCATCGAGGATTGGCTGGATGCGGTCAACCGCTTTGCTTCCCGAAACGTCGAGGCGTGGGAACGGGACATTGCCCGGCTGGAACGCGAGGCGGGGCAACAAGCGACGAACGCCACGCACAACGCCAGCGATGGGGTCGAGGAAGAGTCGAAAGATTCCATCTGGGCCTACCGAGCCGGATACGGGAACGGGCCGTCGCACTCCGGCATCTACTATTCGGACCTGGTCCAGTACGGAATGGGCATGATACCGGGTGGAAAGAAGAACCCAACCGTTGTGTACAATAGCTTTACCCCCGAGGGAATGCCCACGTTTTTCCTGCCACCCGAAGAAAGTGGTGGCACCAACGGCGATTGCGAAGAAGCTCTGGGCACGGAGCACGCTAGCGAACGAGACTCGGGCAACAATCCCTCGAGTTCGGAATCGGACGTGGCCATCTGCACCCGGCAATTCTTCGAGCGATCCTCGATGCGGTTGATTCTGACCGGTCACAAGCCCCAGGGAGACATGCCCAGCCCCATCCGGGTGGACCGTTCCTCGTGGGTGATCTGCGCCGACACGAGCTACTCGGGCGACACCAAGTGGTTTCACGACGAGCGCAACGCCACGAACCCTTCCAAGATGGAGCGGAGAAAGCGCCAGGAAGAAGAGCAGCACGAAAAGCGAAAGCGGAGCAACTTGGGGCGGGGGAATTCCATTAGTTTCCGGGGTGAGACCGCCGTGAGCGAGGTGCTCGTGGAGCTTTCGGGGAAAGACCTCTCCCCGGAGAGCGTTTCGTACCACGGAGTCCTCAGCGATGGAACGGAGTACGAAAGCGTGAATCTCTTGGACGATGGCGAGGACGAAAGTGGTGCTGTTTCTGCGGACGATGCCGGTAGCAACAGCAACGGTTCTGGCAGTTGTGGTTCGTTGGATTCCATGCCGGCAACGGCCGCGATTTTAGGGAGGGTGGCGCCCACCAATATGGTTCCCGATCCGTTGAACTCTCCCCACGAGGGACGATGGTGGACAAAGGGAATCTGTCGCGATGGATCGCATCTTTACTACGCCGGGGAAGGCTACAACGTCTGGAACTACATAGTCTCCCCTTCCGACATCGATGGCAATAGAAGTAACACCAAATATATCGATAACACAGCCTCCGAAAGCGACGCTAAAAAGTAGAAAATGAATGCATTACCATGCCTTTTTATTCCTGCTTTCTCGTTTTTGTTTCTTGCTTTTGTTAATGCCTACGTCTCGTTTTCTGAACTGAATTCACTACAGCAACTCAAGGGGTCTTTGTGGTGAAGTTGGGGACTGCACAAACCACATACCATGCTGCGTTGCTTCGTTTGCAAAACTTTGCACATCGCATCGTTCGATATGCCGATGTCAGTCGGTATCATCGTTTATCGTTTGGCAGAAAACATACGCACTAGTAACAGTATTTCTGGTCTCTTCGTTAATTCGTTGAAACCATCATGAAAGGATCTTTCCAAACGTGACACCCCCATGGGCCCCCACTGTGCGCGACGTCCACGACTAGTTGCACGCGCGCGCGCATGGCATCGTATCCTTATTCGTCAAAATCTCCCGCCGAGAACACAATCGGTGCGTTGCTTTCAGAGGCGTGATTGTGTCGTTCACCGCAACGTGAAAAAGAGAAAAAGAAACAGCAATGAATGAATCTTGAAAAAATTCAAAAAAATTGTACGTACTGTTGTTCGTAGCTGCATCTCGTACTCGTACTGGTAATTGAACTCATACGGTAGCCAATACAAAAGCTTTGTTGAACCTTTAGAACATCATCATCATTCGTTTCGTAAAAAATCGTACTGAGCTCAATAGCAATAGAAGGCACCTGTCTGTCAAATTATTCCATACAATTGATCAAGAAAAGCTGCAAACAGCCGACAGAGGGAAGAACTTCAGAGAACTATTCATTTGACGATACTATCTACGCGTAATACCGGTCACTGTGGAAAGAAAGAAAGAAAGAAAGAAGAACGCATTGCCGTCATTCATAGAAAGTACTGTACCTGACAAAATGTACGGTGCCGTCCGTGATAGCGACGATGACGAAAGGAATTCCCTGTTGCCCAGAGGGCGCAACGAAGCAAGCCAGAACATCAAGCCCGCTTCGTACACTGGTCTCGTTGTCAATCGCTTTCTGATAATTCTGCTCCTGGCCGGTTTGGTGGGTATTTCCATCACCCTGCAATCCTTTCAAACCCAGCTGAACGTTCAACTATCGACCGACGAAGAGAAGATCCATTTTTTGGAGGCGACGGTCGAGGCGCAGGGAAAAATCATTGAGAGGTTCAACCAATCCGTCACCAATGCCGATGTTGTCGAAGAATTGAACACAATGGAGGATCGATGGGACAGAGAACGGGGGGAACTTTTTGCCCAGCTCAATACAACAAAAGCCGAGGTCCGTGTCGAACTCGACAAGGCTATGACCATGCTCGATCAGACCGTCAAGCTGGCCGAGGCCCAGATCCAAGAAGACATCAAGGCTGTCAAGTGGAACATCACCGAGATGGCCGCCAACACGAACGACCGCTTCACCATGGAGAACAATTTTATGATCTACCAGGTGGCGGGAACCTTCACCGTTTTGAGTTGCCTAATCAGCATGTGGCACATGGGTAGCCATATCAACAAGATGGAACAACCAGCCATCCAGCGGAAGATTCTCGCCATTCTCTGGATGTGCCCGATCTATGTAAGTGCGGATTAGAACAGAATTGAAATGGCTGAATCGAAGGAACTTGGAACCATTTATATTCTGGTACATCTTTTCATTATGATTTGTTGTTCTGCTCTTTCCATGCGTCCACACACTTCTTTTCTGCTGCCAGGCCGTTTCGTCTTGTCTGTCCTTGGTCATCGCGGATTATGCTGGTTACTTTGCGATCTTGAAGGACTTTTACGAGGCATATATTATTTACCAGTTTCTCTCCTTCTGCATATCGGCGATCGGCGGCGGCGACCGAGAAAAAGTTGTCGATGCACTTTCGAAAGAGGTTGGCCACCTGACGCCCCCTTTTCGTTTTTGCTTTTGCTGCAAAAAACATTACGAAAACGATCGAGCGATGGCCAGCGCCATTTTGCTGCAGTGTCAGGGGTTTGCGATGCAATTCGTCTTTTGGAAACCCGTAATTTCCATCGGACAATTTTTTTGCAAAAAGTACAGCTACTACGGTCCATTTGCCACTGATGCTATGGATTGGAAGTCGTTGCAGTTTTGGATGAGCATTATCGTGAATATTAGTACGTTTGTGGCCTTTGCGGGACTCTTGAAATTTTATCATGCCGTCGACACGGATTTGGCGTGGTGCCGTCCCTTTGCCAAGTTTTTGTGTATCAAGGGAGTTGTCTTCATGACATTTTGGCAGGGCATGGCCCTAAAAATTTTGGCAGAAACGACTGACGTAGGCAGTGACGCCAATACGGCGGACGATTGGTCGGAAAAGGTACAAAATTTTTTGATTTGCCTGGAAATGCTTCTGTTTTCGATTGCCCACTTCTATTGTTTCCCAGTGGATGAGTGGCAACCGGGTTACAAAGTCAATTACAGAAAAGCCAAATTTGGAGAAACCATGGCATTAAATGATTTTTTCACGGACCTCAAAATTATTCTGACCTCTGACGACTCCAGGAAAAAGAAGAAACGCGCGTCGTCGAAGAAGCCCTCGGAGTCCACGATTCCTGAAGAAGACGACGAAAGCGAAACGCAAGACGGTTCCGTCTTCAGTGGCATGGGCAGTTCCGTTGACGAAGAAGAAGAATCGAAAAATGCCCTTGTTCAGGCCTTGAAATCCTATGATGACGACGAGGATGACGATGAATTGCCTCCAACCCAACAAAACGATCTGGTGGATGCCGAGCGACGACTAGGAAACATGCTGGACGACATGCTGTTTTCACCCCGAAGTGTTCCGGAGGATCCAAGTCATACAAGCGTTGACGATAATGACGTCATCAAAACGGAAGAGATTTCCCGAGACGAAGAAACCGGTCACATCGAAGAAGGAACTTCGAAGGAAACAACGGGTCTGTTGACTGGTGCATCTGGAGAGACTCTGACAAACAACCTGAAACCCAGCATATTCACAGTCATTTCTCAGCACCAGTCTATGGAAGAAGATACTGAAGTCGAAGAAGGCATTGAAAATCAAGAAAATGGGAAAGAAGATTCTGGCAACCCAAAGGAAGAATAGGAAATCAACGACGAAGAGAAACCGACTGTGCGCGGTGACAAAAAGTTAGGGGGGCAGCCTAAAATCGAAGCTTGCGGTGAAAAGCAACAATCTGTTGGTTCATTACAGTGTCGGAAGTGAGTGGCACGCAAAGAACAAATTCAGGCTGCAATGAATTCTAGCACTTGAAAACATGCGCTCCCTCGTGCATGTATTCGCTGTCGAGCCATTTGAATCCTAAGCAAGCTGTTTAGATTTGTCGCTTTTTGATTTGTCTGTATCAAACAGAACACTTCGCAATAGGTAATGTCGTGTATTGAATCAGTCACTCAGGTGCAATTTAGATATGGAATCAGTCGATCATGAAACTAACTGAGGAACGTTGTAAATCATAGTGATAGATTTTAAAAGATGCTCTAATCGATTGATCCTTTCCTGGCGGTAAATCCGGGACAGTATCATTTCATCTGCTTGGTCATAGACATACTCATTTGCAATACTCTTCCATGCAGGCCCACCTTGTTACCAAACCACCTCGGCTTGCCTCTCACCAGCCTGTGCCTCAACCTTCCACAAAACCAATTAGCGAATAGCCGCCATATTTAAATTCTGTTCATTTTGGTATTAGTAGTAACTTTTTGCAAAATCAACACCAGAAAGGAACTCCAAAATCAGAATTCTGCAGTCTTAGTTAGAATCTACCTCACCAACAAAGGATCATGGAAACAAACGCTCTCTTCTTTGACTAGTGCTATTGCTGCTAGCACTAGAAGCACTATCATCGATGCCTCGGTCTCGTTATTTACTAGATTGAAATTATTTACTGTAATTGATAGTAGTTTGAATGAAAAAGGTCACGATAGCTTCTGGGGAAATGAAAAGAAGACGTCAAACATCATACAATAAATACCGTTAGTAAATCGTTCTAGACCAAAGTACGAGTACGATCTACGGTGCGTACCCTCATGCCCGTAATGAACCCAAAATCGTTCTTAAAATTGCGCAAAATCCCTCGGCAGAATTGGATGGAGCCATTCAAACCCAAACATCATCTTTCGAGAGTGACAAAGTCTTCAGGAGTGCGCTACCCTCGACGGAACGGAGTCAAATTGACCCGACGCAAAATCCATTTCTATGATGCAAGGACGAGGAGTCACCAATTTTTCGGGAGATAAGCCTTCTCACGGATACACAACGTCAACAACCGAATTTGACGATGAGCTCATAAAGCGAGGCATCGTCACGACGGAGCAAGCCATGATGGCCAAGGGTGCTTCTTTGGAGGAGGCGTTTCGGTTGGCGGAAGAAAAGAGAAGCGGGAGGGATAGTATTGTCCACAAGCGAAACAGCAACGAAAACAATGCAGAGAGCCAACAAACCGACAATGGGGACACCAACAGCGACGTCAGTGACGACGACGACGACTTTGATTTCGACGACGACGATGGTTTTATGGAACGCTATCGGCGGGAGCGAATCGAGCAACTCCAAAAGGAACACGAAACAAAACGGTCGAGCGAACTGATGCTCCGTTCCAACAACCCCTCCTCGCAGATTCTCCACATTGCCCGCGAAGAATGGAAAGAAGAGGTGAACGAGGCGTCCATGGGCAATCGATGGGTGATCATCACCATGGTGGAAGCCTCGGGAGACCGACGGGATCGCGTGGTTCAGGAGCTGCACAAGGTGGCCCGGGAGTTTTTCCCGGAACGGCTTCCGGAACGGAATCTCGACGACGGCGACGGCGATGGCGGGTTTGGGAATTCTCCTTCCGCCAGGTTGCTCACCATTGACGCTTCCGAGGCCATTCCAAACTGGCCGGAAGAACGCGTTCCCGCCATGTTTGCCTATCGAAACGGCGTAAAGCAACACGAATGGATCGCGAGCAGGAGGGGCGAATTTCCTTCAAGGGACATACTGGAAGAACTCTTTCGACAATGGAATCTTATATAATTAAGGACACAAATTGTGCATGATTCCACACTTTGTTTTACACTAGAAGAGGAACTCGCTCTATTTCTCTGAAGCACAGTAGAGTTGCTTGATTCGATTGTTTGATTAGCCTGAAACTGTTGACATTGTATCTTTCAGGTTGTACAACATATGGTTTTTCTAAGTGACAATCTTTTTCGTGATATAAAGAAACGTTTTCTTTTACTGTTTGTGTTTTGAAATATATCAATTACCAATAATCATCGTCGCGGTTAGGGTAGTAGCGTCCGCCGTTGCCGTTCTCTTCGTTGGAGGAAAAGTCAAAAAATTGCCGCTTGTAATCGCCTTCCCAGAGTGGATCGTGGCTGGCGATGTGATCGTAATTGTGACAGACCTGGCCATCTAGGCAGCAGAAACAGCAGCCCTCGAGGCACGCGACTTCTCCACAATCCACAAAGACGGTGGTCAAATCATCCAATCCGCAGATGGGGTTAAGATCTCCAAAGATGCGGTTGTTATCCAGGAGCAAAACGCGGAGCTTTTCCAGTTTGGCCAGGGCGTGGCTCGGGACCGATGAGGTCAACTGGTTTCGATTCAACAGAAGAAATTGTAGATTTGTCAACATGCCGATTTGATCCGGTATCGACCCCGATAGTTTGTTGTCATCCAAGTCCAGCACCAGCAGGGATTCGAGTGCTCCGATCACTCCCGAAATAGTCCCCGTCCGATGCGTGCTCTTCAAGGACAATTCCCGCAGATTGGTCATGTCATAAACGAAGCTCGGTATGGGGCCCTCGTTGTAATCATTGGCTCCCAAAAATAGATACGTCAAGGTGTCGCTCAATTTTTCCAGCTCTGCGGGAATCGTTCCCGTGAGATAATTGCTCGACAGATCAAGGTGTGATAGGTGTCGTAAATTGGCAATCGCTGATGGAATGGATCCCTTGAGATCGTTTCTGTAAAGGGCTAGGAATTTCAAGTGTTGATTGTTTTCAGGAACATCTTCCGGAATACTAGAAATAAAATGGTTGGAGTGCACGTCGAGAATCTCCAATTTAGGCAACCGAAAGAGATCGTCAGGGAGGCTACCGTTGAGCCGATTCGAAGAAATATCCAGCGTAACAAGGGCTGGGTGAGACTTTGCTATGAGATTGGGTAAGGTTCCTGTAAAGCCATTGTCCTCTATGTATAGATGTTCGAGGGAATGCAGTGAGTTCCAAATCACGTCCGTCCTTCCTGTAAAAAGGTTGTCGTCGAGGGCCAAGATCGACAATTTCTGAAAGCCGAAAAACTCATCGGGAATAAATCCCGAAAGCTCGTTGTTGCTTAGATATAGATATTCTAGGTTGGGCCACGCCAATGGCATCCAGGATGGAAGTGTCCCTGTAAGTTGACTAAAGCCCATGATCAAGGTTCTTAAATTTTGCAGGTTGTGCCATTCGTACGGTATTGTCCCACCCAATTCGTTTTCGATGGACTCCAGATATGTCAGAGATGTCAATAGCGATATTTCGGCCGGAAGGGTACCCACGAGGTTGTTGCTAACTAAGGATGCACGAGAAATGTACACGTAGTAGGCAACATCAATTGGAAACGAGAGATAAAGCAATGGGGATGAAAAACTACACATGAGGAATATTCAATAATAGTAATGCTCTTGAAGAAAAATTCGCAGAGAAGAAAACTTGCAACGTTCGAGCCTTTGAAAACACCAACAAATGAAAGAATGAATATTACTCACTTAGCGAAAGACCGACGATCTCTTGGGTGTTTTGGTTGCACAAAACACCGACCTGACCCATCGGTGGCGGAAAGACTTGAAACCAATCGCAGGTCGGTTTCTCCGCATCCAGAAAATGCAAGTCGTTCTTCCAGTTTTCTCCATCCGTCGCAAAGTATAAGACGGCCATAGCATACCGCATCAATAACTTGTATCCCTGTGGGGTGTCCGGTCCCTCGTTGTGTGTCGGAAGGACCGGAAATTGCGTGTCCTCGTTCGCAAGCCACGCAATCGCTTCGGATTGTGGAGTGTTCATGGCGGCTGTCCAAGAACCCTGGTAGTTGATCTCTTCGACAATGCCGTAGCGAGCGAAATAATTTTTCAAGTGGACTTCTCGGTCGTCGTACTTTCCGACGGAAGTGCCTTTGCCGTCAAAGACAAGAGTCGAGCTGCCGGAGTCATCCAAATTCTCCACGCTGTTTTTATTGTGATTTTGAGAGTCGATGCTTGTTGTTTGGTGTCGATTTTTCCTGGCATCAATTGCAATTGCTACAAAAGCGATCAGAGCAATGATTCCMATCACMAGTGAAAATAACATGCAACCAATCTGTCGTTTTCGTTCGGACAACAGAGAGGACGATACACTCGATTTCCCAGCCGCTGCAACAGAAAGCTTGAGTTCCTCGACGTCGGGAAACGAATCCTGCCTTTCTCGCCGGTAGTTGAGGTTGGTCGTTCCATTCACTTCTCTGTCATCGAATGGCATTTCAAACGGAAACTCTTCTGCCAGGGGACTCTTATGCTCGTTGTTGCTTTCGTCGCCAAACTCGAGATCGTCAAAAAGATCGTCGTCAGCCCCCAGCAATATCTTCCGAGCTACCGGACTGATTGCAGAATGTGGCAAGGAATCGTCCGTGGTGTCGGCATCACCAGAAGCGCTCGAATCAATCGTTGGAAGACCACTGAACTCGGTAGTGCCTCCATTCTCGGGAGACAGGAACGGATCGGGTGGAAATGCCGCCATCGGTGGGGTTGGCTTCTGTGTTTGCGCTGCTGTTGCTGCCATCGTAGATTGTTATCGTCGTCGCAGTAGACGTCCTTCTCTTCTTCGAGTGAACTGTACGTCTTAACCATGCATTGCGAGGAACATCCTTTCAATGTCCCTGGAAGAGAGTGAACAAATTGTGCATGATCAGAAAGAAGAACCCAGAAATTATCGTGTGATGTCGGGAAATAAGCTTCCATGAATCCGTACCGTACCAGGTAACGTACGACTTGAGGAGGACGAGCACACGTGAAGCTATCGTAGTTAATAACGTACTTTGGTATCGTACCGTACAGTACTTACGAGTATGTGCGAACACAGTCGATTGAATTTATTTACTTGGATGTAGTATGAGGATTTTCGTGCTCGTGCTCGACATTTTAAACTTTTATGTTACCACCTCTTTGATACCATACTAAACTTCTAACGCACGCGTACCGGTACTTTGACAAAGCGTGGTGCACCATCCGAAATCAAATAAATGTATTTATGCCCATTTGAAAATGAAACTAAATCCTTTCCCCGATCTGAATACGTACGGTATTTCGTATTTCTCCGTCCGAACTAAAATGATGCTTTAATATTCTTATTCAAATGATGTAGTTTACCAGATATTGAGCATTGATTTCAGAATGACATTTTAGTCGACGGGAAAAGGCAGGTGTACTTTCCTCGTCACAACTAGTTTTTCTTCTAGACTCTTCTCAGTTCATTTCCAAAAGAAGGGTATTTTACTCGAACACAACCCATCAGTCGCTCCGGGAGATGCTCTTCCTCAACCGCTTCGAGCAGAAATCCCATGTCAACCACCAGTGTTTTTGCATATCCGAGGCTCAGCTTTATGACTCCTTCGGCAACTTGACTGCTCCGGCAATCAAGGACTATTTCCATAAAACGGTCTGTTCGAACATAGTACTGCTTGAGTCGTGTTCCCATGATGGCCGGAGTGCTGCCCACGGCTTTTCTCACAAGAAAATTTCCCTCAACAATTCTCGGAATCAGCTTGAAAGTTTCGTCTCTGAACTGATCGCTATCTCCAAAGAAGAATTTTTCACACAGCCTGGAAGAGGGTGTCCCATCGCTACCGTCGATTGTGCTCTTATCGTCCACCGCGTAGTAAAATACCGCATGGAAGCACTGTGCGGCAGGAATCACAATGTTGACTACAAAGATAAATGGAGGAGTATCGCATGTCATGCCTTTCGCCCTCATTTCTTGTTCACGCTTTAGGGCTAACTGGATTCGTTCCGTAGGATGCATTGACATTCCGCTGAGAATGGGAGTGTCCACCAGAACGCAATCCATTGCAATCAGTTGCCCGATGCTAGATCCCGCATTTATTTTCTTTCCATCTTCTAGGTAGTTTGGTCCACGGACAAGGAATGAGTTGGGATCGGGCTCAGCCCATCGTTCGGGACCGAGGGGTGCTGGAATATTTCCGATGGATGGGAACTTTTCTGAAGTGAAGCTATCGCATCGTTCTCGATCGACAAACCTCGAGTCAAATGATGCAAGCTCGATATTGTCACCATTTCTCATCATGCCGGGCGTCCTGCTTGGATTTGGCATCGGCTGTTGGTATTGAAGTGAGTCGGGTGACAAATTTTTGAATCGGTCGCTCTCGATAGCGTCTCGAATGTCCAAAGTTTGAAGCAAAGCTGCTATACCAAATGCATCCGCATATGTTTCTTTTGAATACTGGCAGATGGTCGGTCGAGTTGGGATCCAACCTTTGGGCTCTACCTGTACGACTGCCGTTAGCATACATTCACTTGTCAGTGGGCCCTTTCGACGGCACATGTAACTCTTCGGAGGCGCAAGGGTGTATACCTGGTGCATTGTTCCGCGCACAAATCCAGGCTGAGGAGGACAGTCAGCATGTTCCGTCGACTCGTAGCAAATGATAAAAGAACCATCGGGCTCGCATCGCCAATAGCGATTCACAAGAAAATCTCTTGGTTTGGCCCACATTGGAGACAGATAAACTGGTGTACAAACAAAGTGTAAGACGTCCATGTGATCGTCAATCTTTTCCACCAATCGATAGGATGCACACTGATTCGAATTTGGAGTCAATGGCATTGTATTGTCGCTGTACACCGACGGCGAGGGTATTCGAGCATACGACATGATGCACATGAAAGCTTCTACATGATGTGCATTGAGTACCAGCTGAGTTTTCATCGGTATGCAGGTTGAGTCGTCGTTGGCGGATCGAGAAACCTTCATAGAGAGTTCGTCGTCTCGAATCCTTTCCTCTTTGTAAATTCGAAGGCTTTGTGAACCACTTCCCCATCCACAATCCATCGGTGTCCATTTCGTTCTGCCCTGTTCCAAAATATTCGAGTCTCTCAGGAATAAGTTACTTTTCGAAGTTGATCTATTCAAAGTAGCCTTACTTTTATCCTCATCATCCACACTCGACGTTCTCAACATGATTACATCACGAGGAATCAGAGCGCTTGCGGCCCTGCCTCCATCGGAAGCAAATCTCTGAGCCCACGTAGAATGTTTGATGTATTCTTGCTCTAAGCACGCATCGAGCTTGAGTTTCCAAAGCCTAGCGATTGCATAATCGGTGGTTGCAATCGTCAGGCTGTCCTTCTTTTTCAGCGTGCGTTTAAAACCTGCTTCAGCGACACCAGCCGTTCCCCCAAGGGCCGCGGCCCCGCCCAGGACTATCATACCTGCGGCGAGACCAACACCAGCAGTAACAACTCCAACACCAACAGCTGCACCAGCTGCTACGACAGCCTTTGTGGCTCCAACCATTCGTTTTGTTTTGACCGATTTTTTCTTTCGTTGTTTGCTCGCAAATTCGTTGTGAAGCTTTTCTTGTTCGCGTCTCTCTATGTCATCAAAGGAAGATGTTTGTTTTACATTATCGCTTGCATCAAAATCTTCGGTCTTCCAAGTTTTTCCTGAAAATGGATCGGTGCAGTCGACTGATTTATTGCTTCTTTCAATCTCCAGCGACTCGTAAGAATAATCCGATTGTCGAGCGTTATAGAAACTCTCCATAAGTTTTTCAGAAGAGTTTCCTTCGGAGTTTGATTTTCTACCCCTGACCTTTCGTCTTCGAAGAAAGGATTTCTTCTTTCCCTTCACCGAATTTACGCTATTTACCGATCCTTGATCACAGTTGTACGGGTCGTCTTCCTGGTGCAGGGGACTCGAAATTTCCTCAGAATTATATAGATTCGTGTTGATTGCTAGTTGGCTATCGGCATCTTGCGTCCAAGAAATATCAATGCAATACAACGATGTCTTTCCCCCAGAAGAGGGCACGGCAGTCTTCGTTGCAGATATGGATGAGGTGCTTCGTTGTTCTACGTATATATCTCCAATTTCACACCCGGCATTTCTAGATATTTTGAAGGTTGCCGCAGGGTCCTCGTGCGCAATCGTTGCATCGTTCTCGTTGTATGTAGCCGTGGTTTTATCCTTGCCTTTGTTTGTTTCCTTATGCCAGTAAGACAAAAACTGGTTGGCTTGAAAAACAAAGTATCTATCCTGCCAATAATTGTTGCGATTACGTTTCAGCATCCATCCCTCTGTCAAAGTCTCGTGTTTGATGCGTTCGTATTTATCTTCAATTCTTTCTGGCGAATGAGGCGTAGCCACCGAAGAGTCTCCAAATTGGGAGTCTTCTCCAGTATCACTATAACCATTCATCATTATTTCTTGTTTGAAGAAGCTGAGCGGATGTGGCCTTGTTTCTGATCGAGTTCTATAACTGTATATATGATGCTGTTGCTGAATTGGGAAATCAACTGATGCAGCTTGAGGAAAGACATCTGAGTTCGTTGCTAATGTGTGAAGCCATCTACAGTACCATACAGTACGAAGTGGTTTTGACCCCGGTGCAAAAACTGTAACATGAACGGCAGGTTTTCGCTAGATACCACGTACTAGTAGGCTACGACGTACGAAACCGTACTCGTACGAAGTACGATACTGTACTTCGTACCTGTCATGTGCTCCGTTGTCCGAAGATTGTAGAAGTTGTATGTACTCATACGTACGATACTTCGTACCGACAAATTATTTTATGAGTACGAGTAGGGCTCGTTGGGGAGCGCTTTTTACACGCATACCCGAACTGCCAAGTGGTATGAAGAATATTTTTATCCGGTAGAATTTTTCATGCCCATGGAGATGTCGTTTACCGTTGGAAAGTAGCGGTAGGACGTCGGTTCCAGTTGCCTCGGATTAAACGGTGATAACTGTATTTTAKGAGAGAACCAGTTATTTCGAAATAAAATGCGTTAACCGTAAAATCCTACCAGGGCCTACAGACCTCAATGTCATTCTACTCAAACTCTAAAAATTATTACTAGTAAAATCACAGTTAATTTTGAAGCAAAGTATTTTAGTACTGGTCCTACATAGATCTACCAGTTTTCAGTCACTTTTTCCACCACAAACAGCTCAATAAGCTAAAATAAACATCACAGGCCTCCTCTGATGAGATCCCCTTTGGTGGGGATAGTATGCTTGGTCATATTGGTGTTAAGAAGAGTGTTGTGTGTCATTGTTGCACGATTAGGGGCCATGGGGGAGCCGGTTCTCCATTAACAGCCACCATGGCCAAAATTGGTCGGTTTGCAAGATCGGTTGCTGGTTAGATAATAGGCCAGATCTTTATCTCAAAAAACAACTTTAGACCACCACACGACTAAGCGCCCCCCAGATCAAGATGATACAATTACTTGTTAAAGATCCATGTCATTGGAATGCTTAGTAAGGATGCTATGGCAGCTTAGAACTGGTCTGTTAAAGTTACAGTAGTAGTGGGCCAAAATTCCTGCGTTAATTTTGGCTGTAATTTTATATTTAAAAAAAACTGCTGGTACTACTGCTGGATCGTACAGCAGTACTAAAGAACCAAAAAATAATATGAAATGCGCAAAGCAGCATCAAAAATTAATAGAAGTACCTACTTATCACATCACAGGCTTGACCAAGCAAAAAATGATGATTCAGTCATATTAGCGATGATGTATCAATTAATACTTCTCCGACCTCTGTACTACTCCACACCCATCCAATCCAAGATGGAATCTGAGAGGAAGAAATTGTCAGCTGTGATATGAGGAGGCGGTGATCTCCAAATATTCCAAGGTTCAATGTTAGAAAGAACAAAGTTCTCCACAAGTGTGTGAACTTCAGCAGGGCCAGTGCAGGTACTAGTATGTCTATCATCAGTACTAGTACTACTTTCTTGCTGCCATCCACTGTATATGTTTTCCCACCCTCTGGGTTGGATGCAATCAGCATCAGATATGAGTACAGTCTGCCTCTCATAATCATCTTTTGTTTGAGATAGCTAACAAGTGGACTTCCAAAGCCTTGATAGAGCCAGCTTGTCTCATTGATAGTACATAGGTTCTGGTCAGCCCTTCTTTCAGTGAAATAGTTTGTATTGTTGAGGACAATGATAGTCTCATAGATTTAGTCAAACTTGTGAGCCAGATTGCCACTGTTGGTGGGGGATCCACAGTACCAGGGCCTTTCCAAATTGGTTTTGCATAGCTTCAAGTTCCTTTTAATATCATGCCACTTGGTATGAGTCACAGTGTTTGCAATGTCCTCCTCATTGAATGAAACATCTTTTGCACTGGCTCCTTTGCAAGCACCATACAAAAAATAATGCCATTGTCAAAATGAATTGCTTCAGGAAGTGCAACTGTTGCAATTTGGTGTCCTTCCCCTACGTTGACATCAGAGATGTACACATTGATATATTCCATTACATTGTTGTACTAAGTATGCTTCTTCTCAGGTTCAATCTTATACTAGTACAGCTGAGCTTCTTCCAAATCTGGGGCAATATGTAGCAGCTACTGATAGAAGAAGAAAGCTTCTCCATTTTCAATGCAGTCTTTTTGTCTGTCCATGTTGCTGAAGCTTGAAGAAATCCAGCTTACCCTTCCTCTCATCCAGAAACATGTTGTTATCTCTACTAGGAAACTTCCTTGCAAACTGGTGGTGGTTAGAATCTTCAACACTACCATCCCATCTTAGGTTATGAATCTTCCATCCATTCTGCTCCCTGATAGGTTCCTTGCCAAGACCAGCTAAGTGTTTAGAAATTTCCAGAAGCTTGCACTCCTTAGAAGGAAGGAAGTGTCCTTTGTATTTCCCCGTACCTGCTTCAAACTTGGCCCTGTAGTTATATGGGTGCGAATCACCTACTAGATTGCCAACATTATTTCAGTCTTCAGGCAGGTTGTTCTCCTTTGTCAACCTTTGGATCCTTCCTTTCATATCCTGCTGAGATCTTGGTGGGGTAGTAGTTGAGACTGCTGTCAACAATAGTTCCATTCTTCCAATAAAAGAACTCAGTATCATGAGGCTCAACAGTGTTCTCCTGATTTGCTCCTTGAGGAATGTTGGTTGGTTATGCTGGTGAGTGACATAGGTAGTGCTGCTGTTAGGGTATGGTGTTGCTGATAGTGTTGCTGAGTGTCCCTGCTAATGTTGCTGAGCATCGCTGATAGTGTTGCTGCTGAGTGTCCCTGCTACTAGTGTTGCTTAGTATCAATTTGTTTTGTTATTGTTGAAGATTGGTTTAGTTGTCACTGTAGCTGACGTTGCTGTAGCTGGCATCAATAGCTCAGTGCTGATTAGTGTTGCTGTTGAAATACTGTTATGGATAGGAGTGGTGGTGGAGATCATACTATATTGTTGCTTCTTGTTGGTGATGCTAATTTGATTTGTTGTTGTCAATTGTTGTTGTTGATACTAGTATCAATGCATTGTTGTCTATTTGTTGCCTGTGGTAGCTGGTGTTGATAGCTTGCTGAGTAGTGTTGCTGACACTGTTGCTGGAGATACACTGTTGCTGAATAGTAGTGTTGCTGATGGGTGGTTGGGAGTGTTGCTGATTAGTAGTGTGAATGGGGGGGCAAGTAGATATCAGTTGTCAGAACAAGAAGTGCATCAACTGGGATAATGGTAGCTTCAGCACATCATTGTGATGACTCCTCTGAGTCTGACAGACAAAAGAGTTGCCTTGCTGCTAGCAACACCATAAAGGAGCAATATTGGCCAAGCAGTATTGGTGCAACACTGGTTGGTAATTTAGGTAAATATGTTCATTGAGAATGTATTGACACCTTGATTGACATCAAGACGAAAATATCATATGACAGGGGCAATAAAACTAATAAATATGGAAGATACTACCATCATCAACACCTGGTTCTCTTTCTTCTAGAAGATCCTTGACTGCATCCGATACTTTTTTAAGAACTCAATGCTGTATTTCTATTACTAGCCATGTTGCGGCACGGAAAACCTTTTTGTGTTTTGATGTAAGTCGTTTATGTTATTTTTTTACTCGAAGCTTCCAATCAATAGAGAAAAAACATTCAAAATTCCCCAAATGAACAAATCAGCAACTTTATTTTAATATCTATCTTGTGGATTGTGTTGGCGTGATGGCGTCGAGTGTCTTTCGGTATAACGCGAACGTTTATCTGCAGGCTTCAAAATCTGGAACGAGCACATGAGTTCGTCGTCTACTGACATCACTGCCGCGGCATTGTCGAATTCTCCACAGTAGTTGGGGGCTGAAAACAAAGTTACCAAACTTCGGCGGGCAAAAAACTCGTATCCATCTTCTACGACTTGGTGAGCCCGACAGATCAAGTCCAAATCATGCTTTCGCAAAAACTGGGTCACGATGTCTTCGCCAAATGTAAATGAAACTCCGCGGTCGTTCTCGCCCCACCCATCAATCTGTGGATCGGGATCCGCCCAAATAAGATCACACAAAAGACCTGTGTCCGGGACGTCAGTGGGACGCACAATATTCTGGATTTGTTCCAATCGCGTCAGTTCTGGACTGAGTCCTCCGTGGACACATAAGATTTTATCTTCGATTACTGCTGCTACCGGCAAACAATTGAAGACATCTGTGAAGGTCTTCCACATCTTGATGGAATAACGCCTCTTGCACTCATCGTAAAAGCCATAAATACGATTGATCGAGGCACACTCATGGTTGCCACGAATGCAAAAGAAATTCTCGGGATACTTGATCTTGTAGGCTAACACCAAGCAGGTACACTCGATACTTTGCTTGCCTCGATCGACATAATCACCCAAAAACAAATAGTTGGCAGCTGGAGGGAAACCTCCGTATTCAAATAGGCGGAGAAGATCGTAGTACTGGCCATGAATATCGCCGACAATCTTGATGGGAGCATTCAATTCGAGCATCATCGGTTGGGCCATCATTATATCGCGAGAACGGAGGCAAATCATCTTCATCTCGGCTTCCGTCAGATCGACTACAAGCTTTCCAGGCCTAGCGCCACGGACGCTGTTGAATCACAAGGAGCAACAAGCAGAAGAGCTTTAGACCCCCAAAAATTGTAGAGAAGTTCCTGCCCGGTGTGTTTTCGATGTGCAGACACCTTCTTCTCAATCAAACCTACCTCATAAGTTTTTCGATGACGATGTCAATGGGATCATTTGATGCCCGAATTTCCCCATCTTTATTGGCAGACATTTTCGTTTTCCCTTATCGCTGCTGATATGACGCTCGAGGAGTTCCATCGCAGTTTTCCAAATTATGTACGATAACAGCATGAAAAAGCACGAAGGAAAAATCTGAATTGTTACGGGATGAAGCAATGTGAAGAAGTCATTGCCAGGAGCAATTTTAAGGCCTTGAGAAAAGCCTTCTCGATAATCTCCACTCCAACGACCAACAACCAATAACCAACAAGCTATGAGTGTGAGGCTAAATCCCGAATAGCTAGTGAATAACCTCACTCCTCTATTGTAAACCGCGTAATAACACGTATCAAGGAGCATATTAACATTTGCAGGTTATGAGCCCAATACCTACCGTAGGTACGATTATGTGTTCAAATTAGTTTTTTCCAATAGTACTAGTCAAAAGGTATGTATGCTCTTTAGTGCGGTATAACTACGTGTTTACAATAAAGAGTGAGTTGAGTGGATGTGCTGTTTGCTGTCACTCACTGTTCACTCGTGATTTACGACGTGGTATTGCCTCACAGTCCTACTAGAAGTATGATTACTTCGTCCTCTGTCCCAAATTGATTGTACTGTGATGTGGCCTTGTTGGCTATCTCAACCAGAGTGTTCAGTACACTAGCAGTAGCTAGTTTTACTACTGTTAGTACTAGAACTACTACTAAAGCTTTTCTCTGTACTAGTAGAGGAATGTGTACTACAATCAGTACCATAAATATCATTTAATTTGAACATGCACTTATTTTACCACTAAGACTACTACAAAGAATCAGCCAAGACTTCTCCTTCTTGCAGTGATTTGGAATGAGCACGCAATTCATGCCCTGAATTGATGCGATCCGCATGTACACTAAATATCAATTTTCCACTACTGAAAATACTATTGACATATTCATAATTCTCATTAGCTAAAACTGCTGGCCTAGACTGTGTATTCAAAAATCATTATGGTGATAGTAGTAGTGTTTTTGAGGATGAAGTTCATAGTAGTGCATAAAGGTTGGATAGGTTTACTAGTATTATGCAGTAAAAATGAGAATTAAAAATTTCCTTTGAGCTGAATTTTTCTTGTTGGTACTGAGGATGGAATAAGAGTTTTTTGAAGAAGCTACAGAATTTTTCAACATGTTGCACACCCCTCTACTATAATTATACCATTCAAGATTGAGTAGCTACATTCCTATTGGGACTATTTTGTGGTTGCATTTTTACCTGAAATTTTCCAACTTTTGCTTGCAGCAGCTACTGAAACTTCATCTCTACAAACTACTACTAATAGATTGCTTGTGTGGCCTTCTTGCATTGTCCTCTTAGATAATTATCTTTCAGGTGGTGGATGATCTCCTGTAGCAGGCTACTTTTTGTGGATAGCTGAAGCACTTTAACAAGCACCATCTTCATCCTGTACACCCCACCAGTTGCCTGCGTGACTACTAACAGATGTCCATTTTGCTGGCTCTTTAGTAACAACAAAGGGCCAGCAGATACAAATCTTTCCATCAAACCAAGCGTTTCTTGTGGAGTTCTTGTAATGTGGTCTTGCCCTACTAGCACACACACAAAATGATCTAAGTCATGTTGTTGTTCTTGTACTTTGATGTAGATTTTGGTTCAGTTTCCTCTGGAAGTATGTAGTATTTGGTCTGGTTTGTGCGTTTTAGATAGAACCATTTCTCCTCAACATTTATCTAATTGAACCAGTCATCAAATCTACCGTTGTTGTGGTCAATGTGTTTCAAGATCCATTGAACTCCTCTCTGCAGTTTATTTTTCTTTGTCAGCAAGGGCTTGGTAGTTCTGTTGTGCTTTTTTATTTTACCATGTCTGACCAGATGATGAAGAGACACTCTTGAAATACTTGTTACTGCTGAGAGATTTACTAGAAATGGAATTCTTCAAATTAGTTATTTTAGCATGGAATAAGGTTGTACTAGCAAAAAATTAATGAATAGCTACAACTAGTAGTACTGGTACTAGTACTGGTAGCTGGTAGCTACTACTAGTAGAAGATCATCCTCTTTGCTTCCTAGCAGTAATGAGCCCAAAAGGAATAGTATAAAGTAGTACTACACATAATGATGGGCCATCTACCACTACTATCAGCAGTACTAGTAATGAGAAAAACAGTAGGTGTTGGTGCAGGCAATGCCTCCCTCCTCTCAAAAAGTTGGTTGGCATATCATGGATTTTGTCAAGAAGTTTGGTATGATAGTAATGGGAAAATCACCATAACTAAGGACACAGCAAAAGAAGGCAAAATGGAAAAAATGTGCATTGAAAGTGACAGATACCACATGTACTACCACCACTACTAGTATTTGTTGCTTTTTTGTGATTTTATTTGGTGTTTTGGTGATAGGGGTGGAAATAGATGTTCTGATAGCATTCTTCTAGTGTTTAATTGATTGATCTTGTTGTATCTAGTTAGGAAGATTTTCAACCATTTGCACAATTAGTACTACGTCACACAAACGGGATCCATGGTGTTGCGCATTTTGCGCGGTCTATACCCTTAAATTTTCTGGTCCTACCGTTAGTTTATGA